GTGACTGATGCTCAGAGCAAATGCCAACCAGCGTACGCAGAGCAGCCAGCATGAGGTCAGTCTCTCCTGTGTCCAGTAGGCGTTGCAGGAGCTGAACCCCATTGCTCCGGAAGATCTTCTCAGCTCCAGCATCCTCCCTGGCCAGCACCACCAGGTTCTGAGATGCCTAGGTCAAAGGAAACACATGAAAATGTTGACACTGCACATGGCATAGGGCACAGCACTGGTGAACAGGGCCCCGGGTCCCGGACCTCACTGCTTCCACTTTGTAGCTGAGGGACGTTGGCCAAAAAATAACCTCTTTGAAGTTCAGCTTCTTCCTCTGTACGTAGAGGGAAGAGCCTTCTCCCAGGATTGATGATTAGAGTAAACGAGTCCCCAGCAGAGCCTGAGGGGCTGGAACAGTGCCTCTGTCCCCTCTGTACACCCAGCTGCTGGCACAGGGCCTGGCCCACAAGACACTCTGTGAACACCAGTTCTCCTTTGGTTCATGCTAAAGCCCCAGGCCCTCAGGGCTCTCCTCCAGGCCCCATGAGCCAGCTGCATGGTCAGAGGAACGGCAGAGCAGGGCAGCAGAGGCTTCTGGGGCCTGCGTGGGTGAAGGGTGCTATGGCTGGGTGGCTCTAAAAGGAGCTTACTCACTGACTCAGCCCAGGGCCTATACCTTTTGCTTTTTCTCAGTGCCCTTCTCTTCTGGGTCCAATAGTATCTGAAACATCTGTTCCACTTTGGCATCCGTCGAGGACATGTATCGCACCTACGAACCAACAAAGCATGGAAGAAACCCCGGCTCTGGGCCAGAGACATCACATTCCCTGTTCATTTGTCTCCAGCTCCTCACTCTGGGAGCACTAGCGAAGATGTTGAGACTCAGGGCTAGCACCTGGCTACCCTGGGCAGGAAGAGGCTTGCCTGGCAGCGCCTCCTACATTCCCTGCAGCTGTTTTGCTTTCTGAGCCATTTCCTGCTTGGGCAGCAGGAGCAGCGCCGATGCTGGAGGTAGAGTCTTTCGGGAGGGGAGGTATCCTATCAGCCACAAGGCAACCCACTCCAGTCGTACCATCTACGTTGTGGCAGCGTGAATGGGCTGCCCATGGCACTGAACTCGGCATTTACACCTCCTGCCAGGAAGCTGCAGATCGTGAGGTAGTTGCTAACACTTCCTTTAGCTCCAGAATTCTCCTTTTGACTGTTTTAAAAATAATCTGCAACTGGGTGCAGTGGCTCACACCTATAATCCCAGCACTTTGGGAGGCCAAGGTGGGCAGATCACCTGAGGTCAGGAGTTTGTGACCAGCCTGGCCAACATGGCAAAACCCCGTCTCTACTAAAAATATAAAAATTAGCCGGGCATGGTGGTGGGTGCCTATAATCCCAGCTATTCAGGAGGCTGAGGCAGGAGAATCACTTGAACCCTGGAGGCGGAGGTTGCGGTGAGCAGAAATCCTGCCACCGCACTCCAGCCTGGGTGACAGGATGAGACTCTGTCTCAAAAATAATAATAATCGGCCGGGTGCATTGGCTCACGCCTGTAATCCCAGCACGTTGGGAGGCCGAGGCAGGTGGATCACTTGAGGCCAGGAGTTTGAGACTAGCCTGGCCAACACGGTAAAACCCTGTCTTTTTTATTAAAATAACAATAATAATAATAATCTGAATGGGCAAGATCATCCTAGGCCTACTCCTCCACCCCCAGGGTCCTAGGCATAGATGGTGGCACAAGCCTAGCATGTGGACAACCCCCTTCCCCTCTTGTATCTATGGCAGCCATGACTAACCAGACACAGCACATTTCCCTGCTCAGCTCAGGCAATCTGCTTCCTAATTCTTCTCAGCATAGGAGACTCTGGGCAGCCACTGCTAATCAGAGTTGGCATTGTGAGAGGAAACCTCTTTGCTTTTCTGGGTTTCACTGTTTCATTGAGGTCTCTGCCATCATGGTACCTGCTTCCACTGTGTCAGCATTTTAACATCACATTATCAGGTGAATTTGAGCTTGGTTATAGCTCATAATGGTCTTTAGATTCTTTTCTCCTAACTTAAAAATATGTGTATTACACAATTTCTCTTTACTAAAAAAATATGAACAGATGACGGAGCCTCCTTTGGAAAGCCCTCTCAATCCCATTCCTTTCCCCAGGGGTCACAATGATATCATTTTGACATGTATCTTTTAAAATATTTTCCTGAAAACAAACAAAAAGAAACAAAGATACATATTTGGTCTGGTGCCATGGCTCACACCTGTAATCCCAACACACTGGGAGGCTGAGGTGGGTAGATCCCTTGAACCCAGGAGTTCAAGACCAGCCTGGACAACACAGTGAAACCCTGTCTCTACAAAAAATATAAAAATTAGATGAGCATGGTGACATGCATTTGTCCCAACTACTTGGGAGGCTGAGGTAGGAGGATCACTTGAAGCCCGGGAGGAGGAGGTTGCACTCCAGTCTGGGTGACAGAGGGAGAGCCTGCCTCAAAATACACAAATAAATAAAAATAAATTTAAAAAAATAAAATATTCCTTTGTATTCACATACCCCAGTGTAGCCACAGAAAAAATATAGCATTGTTTTGCTATGTAAGGGATCATTAACATAAATGATATTATTCTATGTGTGCTATTATATATTTCTCTTCTTTTCTTCTTTGAAAGACACAGGGCCTCACTCTTTCAGCCAGGCTGGAGTGCAGTGGCACCACCATAGCTCACTGACCTGCAAAATCCAGGCTTCAAGGGATTCTCCTGCCTCAGCCTCACAAGTAGCTGGGACTATAAGGGTATGTCACCACACCCTCCTAACTTTTTTAAAGTTTTTATGGGCAACATAGTGAGACCATGAGGTCAGGAGGTATCAAACTCCTGACCTCAAGTGATCATCCCACCTTGGCCTCCCAAAGCACTGGGATTATATGCATGAGCCACCATGCCCTGCCTATTTTGCTTTGTTCATTCAACAAGTGTCCCGGAGCTTTCCACCTCAATAAGTGTGTATCTACCTCTTCTCATCAACTACGTAAGACTCTGCAGTAAGGGCATTACTCAGTGTATTCAGCCATTTCTCTATGGCTGGGTGTTCACACAAGTTCCAAGCTTTTCTTACTATAAAAAAGGCTGAAATAAACATATACATGTCTCCTTGTACCCATGGGAAAGGTTTCTCTGAGAGCAACAGCAAGAAGTAGGCCGGGCCTGGTGGCTCATGCCTGTAATCCAAGCACTTCGGAGGCCAAGGTGGGTGGATCACCTGAGGTCAGGAGTTCAAGACCAGCCTGACCAACATGGTAAAACCCCGTCTTTAAAAAAAATAAAAATAAATTTAAAAAAAAAGAGAGAAACAGCAAGAAGTAAACATATGGGCTCACAAGATACACTTGTTTCAAATGTAATAGATATGCTAAGGTACTCTCCAAAAGAGCTGTACCAATTTATAACCCTCCAGCAGTCATCAGAGAGTCCTTGGTCCCAGCCTCACCATTGACGTGTCTGCCTGTCCTCGAAAAGTGTACTTTCTTTTAAATATCTGCCAAACAGACCACCAAATCAGCAGTAACGTGCTGTCATCTGAATTTGCTTTTCCCTGGCCACAGGCAAGGTTGAGCAGAACTCTATATGTTCACCTGCCATCAGTATCTCTTGTCTGGAGAATTGTCTATACCCCTGGCCCAGATCCCCTCACCACTGGTCAGTGCTTCCACCTGTCTGGGTCACTCACATACCTTCTCCTGAATCTGGCCCCCGATGTTCCGCAAGGCCTCCTGGAAAACTTTGTTCTTGGGTTCCAAGCTCACACATCTCTTCAGGTCAAGGACAGCCTGGTCTAGGCGGCCCAGCTTCTCTAGGGCTTGGCTCCGCCGGTAGAGTGCCTTGACATCCCCACCATCCTTTTCAATGGCTGAGCACAAACAGGAGCGCTGTCAGCACCCATGAGGCCACCGTCATCAGGCAAGAGCAGTAGGGAAAGATCTCGAGGAAAAGCCAGAGGAAGGTGGGGGATGAATGTGGGGCTCGGTGCTTCAGCCTCAGAAAAGGTAAGGGTAGCTGCAGAAAAGGAAAGGCCCGAGGCAGTAGGAAAGAAAGAAGGCAGATGTGTCTCCAGGGCCAAGGAGAGGAATGTGATGGTCCCACAGTCCTTGCCCTACAGAAGCCCTACAGTGCCACTCGAGGGCCCACCATTCCCCTACCTTTGGATGCCTCTGTTTCTGCTTTGTCGTAATCTTCCTGTAAGAGAAAGACAGGAGCCCAGTGGGGAGGGGCGGGGGGCGGGGGCGGTGGAATAGGAGCCAAAGGAATGGTCACCTCCCTTCAGGGGTACTAACCCGACAGTGGGGTGCTCTCGTTCTCCAAGGTCACCCAATCCCCCGCGACCCTGAGGTGCATTCGACATCTAGCAAGCGGGGTGGCCTGGAAGCGTGAATGTCCAGCTGGGGCCCAAGCAACAGCTAAGATGTGCAAACCGGGTCCCGGGAGGGTGGGGAATTGGAGGGGAAGGGCGCCCGGCTCCCTCACCAGCTTGAGGTGGCAGGCGGCCCGGTTCCGGTGCAGAATGGCCTGGTCCTGGGGCGTCGCGTCCAGACCCAGGGCCTGAGTGTAGGCCGCCAGGGCGCCCTGGTAGTCTCCACATTTGAACAGCTCGTTGCCCTCTTTCCGCAGCTGCTCCACTGCCACCGAGTTGGCCTGGAGGGAGAAAGGGGCGGCCACGTCGGAGGGGGCTCGGGGCAGGGCCCGGGAGCTAAGGGGAGAGGAGAGGGGGGATGCGGGGGCGCCTCACGGATGGGGCCGAGGAAGCCGGGACGGTCAGCGCGGGTGCGAAGGGGTGATGGCACGGGGCTTGGGTACACACCCCGGGGGCAGCCGGCCGGGGCTCGGGGCTCCCTGCACCACTCACGGTCATGGCGGAGAAGCCGTGCGGGGCCCGCGCAGGCGCAGTCTCTGGGGCGGGTCGCGTCGCGTCTGGGCTCGGGACGCTGCCGGGAGCTGCCCCGCCCACTCTTGCGTCGGAGGCGGGGTCAGAGAGGGGCGGGGCTAAGGGGAGCGCGCGCCCGGGCAGGGGAAGAGCGCTCGGCCCCGGGTGGCAGGTGCAAGCAGGCTCCGCGATCCCCTAAGCTGTCCCCGCGGTGACCTGCGGGGAGTTCGCGGCGGAGGACCCAGAGGGAGGCCTGCGGTAGTTCCAGCCCCGACCCCGGCCCCGACCGCAGCAGAAGTGCACGAGGTCTGCGGTCATCAGGGTCACAAGCAGCAGGGTATAGACGCCTCGCACTAGGAGCGGGCCCGGGCCCCTGCGGGAGAGAAAAAAAGTCTCAGGATCCCAGCCCTGACCGCGCTCTCGCTGCTGTGTTCTGTAGGGGTACAGAACCCCTGGGAGTCCGGAGAACGCTCGGAACCCCCTCCCCAAATAAGTGTAGCCTGACATACACACATTTGCATACGAATTTAGAGACTCACACTGAAGCCACCCATGGGCAGATTCAGGATGGCTCCCCATTACCCGCTTGCACAGCCCCCTGAACTTCGCCTTGGCAATTGTAATCATGATCTACATGATTTTCTGCTGCGGTCTGTCCCTTCACTAGTCTGTAATTTACAAGCTTCCCACCCCATAGTTTAAGAACAGAACCCCAGATATTGAAACACCTTGGCGATGTTCCAATGGCTCCGGGGCTGGAGATCACACCTGAGGATGGGGGACGGGGGGCGGAAGAGCAGACAAGTTGACTTGGTACAGGGCCTCAAATTCAGCCGGGGTGTAGCAGGAGCCCCCTGTAGCCTTCAGGTGGCAGCAGTAGGCTTCCTCTGGAGAATCAGAGACAGGGCAAAGGAAACCAGGGTAGTGGTGGCCATCGGCATCCCGGATGGTCTGGCACAATTGAGGTTGGTGGACCACAGCTGAAGAGAAAGGTGGGGGGCTGGAGACAAGCAGGAGGGGTCTTTCCACAGCCCACTCCATGCCTTCTGGACAGTAAAAGAGATCAGCCCCTACCAGAAGATCAGGCACCCTTCCACCCATCCCCATCAGTTCCAGTTCCCAGGAGTCATCCATAGCACAAGAGGCAAGTGGGCCACAGGAGAAGGCGCTGTACCTGAGAGAGAGGTTGGCTGGCAAGGGTGGCCCAGCAAGGAGCAACAGTAGCCCCACTGACAGGCCTGTCAGCGAGGGGCGTGGCCCTCTCTGGACGCCCATAAGAGTTCACCACCACCTGTCCAAGTCCGGCGAACTCTAACATCTCTCTTTCTAGGCCATGAGTGCAGACGACAAGGAAATAAAAATCAAAGCCCCAAGGCCCTGGGGCACCATGAATACAAGCCTGAAGCTTCTCTATCACAGGCTTCTAGAGAGAGATGGCAGGGACTGGGTTTCTATCTCCTGCTGGAAAACATGGGACCTGCATTGCCAGACTGCTGAAGGAGAAAAGGCTCGAAGAACTAGAAGACAGAATGAGGGATGAGCGAGCAGCTGAGCCCTTAGCGTGAAGAACAAGCAGGCATTTAGAGCCAAATATACCCGTTCTCCAACTTCCAGGATGCCATGGAAGCTCTGGGAATTCTGACACTTCTATTTCAGGTCCCAGAGACCTCAGTTCCAGCATGTGGCACTCCCCTCCCTAACCTCTGCTACATGGCAACCACCAAGACTCGCTGAAAACCGAGGGTGAGTCCTTTCATTAGCTTTTCCCCTGAGCCGCATCTGCCCCGGCTATCAGCCAGAACACAAAAGCTTCCTGTCTGATTAGAGTGTACTTAGCTAACAGCAAACCCCTTCTCACAGAGAAGTTCTATGGGGATCATCAGGCCTCTCTTTTTTTTTTTTTTTTTTTTTTTTTTGGAGGGGGTTTTGCTCTTTTT